ATTTAATTTTGGCATTGTTAGCGAGGGTGCTGACATCGCTAAAATTGAATATCGCTAAAATTTAATTGCGTATTATTTGTAATAGCTTCTTTAGTTAGCATTTTAAAATAGCTAAAATTACTTCTCGCTAAAAATAAAATACCAGATTTTAGGTAGAAATGGCTAAATTTGCGTCTCGCTAAAATTTCTACTTATACGGTATTTCTGCACTATTGTCGCCATTTTTCTACTAATTAAGTCGGGTCACGATACATTATTTCGTGCCAAACGTCACAAGTAGTTCTTAACGCTATCCTTAAAAATGTTTGATCAATTGAATGGATATGATAGTTTCAATGAAAATTAGAAATGTATCTTCTTATAACCGGAATTTTGAGAATTAGAATGCATATCTATCACATTGTACAAATATAATATCGTATACGGCCAAGTAACACTAAAGCAGTGAATTCGGTAAGATTTTCCACGAGTTTTGTATCCTATTTACCCCCAAAGTGGAGATGAGTTACACGTTCATGAAAAGACTGGAATGTTTCACTGAAAAAAAAAATCACTCGCCCTCCGACGATGAAGGAATCTGATACTATTTATGTTCAATAACTTGCATTTATTACAAGAATATTTATCTTACCTTTAATAAACGATCTTAAAAAAATGTTTTTCTTATTTTTGTCTTTTCTATTCATTTAATATGTCAGAAGCCTGCGTGGGAAAATAAACAGAAGTTAAGTTATACTTCAGAAACATAGTGAATATTAAGTCAATGCAACGTAATTGCGACGTGGAAATCAACAAAATCCTTTACATTTCATTAATCTTTTTGGTAGAAGTTTCGTTCATCTAAACGCTCAGCTGACCTTCTAGAAGCCGACTTGCTTAATGGCGGAGTTTACGGAGACCGCCGCCATCTTGGACACACTTCAGATTTTTAAATGCGAATATCTAGTGTGTGGATTGATCAATTCTAAAATAAATTATATATTAGGCTTTTCCAGTAGGGTCTTAATTACCATTTATAATATCAAACAAAAATATCGAAAAACAAAAAAAGTTGAAAAAGTGCACATTTTGAATTCACTTCCTGTAGCGACCGGAAGTACTGACGACGCAAACGAAGGCAAAATTGCACATCTATAACTCATGGGCTATCATCTCTAACAAGTCTCCAGTTAATATCTTGAGCCATTTTCGAGAACATTCGAAGACAAAATTGCATTTTAAAATCAGGAAATTGCCCGTAACTTGGCACTGGAACCGAATTTTCCAATGAACGGAATTTTATATAAAATTCATATAATAAGCTATAATTTCTGAAAATTTTATTGAAATCTAGCGAATAGTTTACGAGAAATCGCCTGCACAAAATTTGGTCAGAAGAAAAAAGAATAATAATAATAAGAAACAATAGAATCACTAGAAGGTCTTCCGTGAAGACGGAAGACCTTAATAATAATAATAATAATAATAAAAAGAAACAATACAAACACTATAAGTCTTCCGTTGTGAACGGAAGACTTAATAATAATAATAAAAAACAGACGAATAACAATAAGGTCTTCCGAAGGAAGTCGGAAGACCTTAATAATAATAATAATAATAATAAGAAACAGAGTAAAAACAATATGTTCCCCAACTTCGTTTGGGGAACATAATAACTAGATGCGATCTCGTTGCGAGCAACGAGTAGGTCTTCCGTCCGAATTTTCGATAAGATGAGATATGACTTTGACTATGATCTTTGGTAAAACATCAAGGAATCATGCCTTTTCCCTTTTGATTAAATTCTTTTGATTTAGATAATATCATCAATGCGTACTTAATTTGCACATTAATTCTTTTCTTTTTTCTTATTTGAGAAACAACCAAAACCAATTAAAGAAGACCTTGGATTATGAATGTAGTTTGACACAGAATTGCAACGAACCTACGACGTGACAATCCAAGTATCCCTACACATTTCATTGCTCCTTATGTTACTTTCGTTCAAGCAAACGCTCGGCTGCCTCTGTTAACCGCTATTGCGAAATGTTGGAATTGACGGAGACCGCCGCCAGTTCGTTCCCGCTTCATATTTTTGAAAGTTAATATCTCGAGATTGAATTTATAAATTTACAAACGAATTATATATTCAGCCTAATAAGAAATGTTTCTATGAACTATACTAATATAATTTGAAAAGATTGAAAAACAAAAAAGTTAAAGACGAGAGACTTTTGGCCCCTCTATGCCCCTAATTAGAAGGACTAACCCCGTTTACTTGATATCAGATGAAAGGTCTTACTATATTGCACATTTTTTATTATTAACAAAATATTAACAGGTAAAAAGATATAAAAGAAAACGTGTCAATTTTTGCGAGATGAGTATGAAGCTTTTTTTCGATCCCAGGCGAGCGTCGATGCATTTTTACCTGGAAAGCTCTATATGCAAAATGTCACATCTACTATCCTTCCTCCACCTTCACTGAAAATCTCAAGTCGATATCTTAAGTCGTTTAGGAGGAGATCTCAGGACAAGCTGACCCTCTAAAAATCAGAAAATCGTCAATATCTCACGACCGGAAGTGACGACGTACTTAGGAAAAATTTCCGACAAGGTTAAGATAAATTTCTATCAGATCTGAAAATTTGGTGAGAATCGGTCCAGCCGTTTCTGAGAAATCGCGTGCACAAAATCGGTAAGAAAAAAAATAATAATAATAGGGAAAAAGAAACCGAACGAAAACAATAAGGTCTTCCGTTGGAGACGGAAGACCTTAATAAGAAACAGAGTAAAAACAATATGTTCCCCAACTTCGTTTGGGGAACATAATTATCGTCCCGTAATGAAATCTCACTCTCGTACATCGTATGCAAAATCATTACAATACGTAACTAAATTAAATAAATTCATAAAATATAAAGTTACACATTTAAAAGCACATTTATTACAGTGTTTCACATTTAATTTAAAAGAATTTACAATCAGAGTAACTCCAGTAAAAATAGATCACCGTGAAGCATCACGGGAAAATACACAAGTATGGCGGCGGCAGAAGTTTCAGTGAAACATGTGTGCTCGAAGACGATAAAAGCATCAATCACACAACAAATAAGGTAACTATAACATAATCCTAAATTACAGCGCAACTTTATTATTACGAATGTACAATTAAGCCAACATATCACTATACTATGGTTAATATGTTTTACGGTGTGACCGTTGAGGCGAGCGCAGTTGTACCATCAAAACACTTAAAAAATTGATCAGCCACTTCAAACATCAAGTCGCACGAGACAACTCGTCTAGCTGTGACGTCACACGGCGTCACGGAGCTCGTCGGAGCCTACGGAAACGGCCGAGCGTCTGGTTTAAACTATAGACCTAGCACAATTTTGGTCGAAAAAACATTGCAGAGTTATTTTTTGTTTCTTTGAAAGATTTCTACAAACTGAAAGCTTTTTATGCTTTAATTAAGTTATTGTTTATTTATTTATCTATTTCACGGAAGCAACCGACATGACTTAATTAGCATATCGTCAAAATTCGTAAGTTTCCGGTGACGTCATATGTATCATTTCCGAAGGGCAAGGTGAAGGCCAGTGTTGTGGCATGGGGGTATTTTTTGAATAAGGCAAGGCAAAATCATTTCGTTAAGTTCTCGGTAAGAAACGATGTTCCTTAATTTTTTTTACTATTTTTGATTTATTCGCGCAAAGGACATTGGGTAGTGCAGGAATTCTGGGAATGTTGCACAGAGAAATTTGCCTGACGTATGTACAGATTTCATTCCGAATTTCCTCTGTTTTTACACGTTAGTCTATTGAGCTCGCTTCGCGACGCTCGCTGCGCTCGCTATAAAGTGGGGGGGGGGGGGGGGGGCAACCATCCTATCAATGAACATTTACTATACCGTAGTAAAGGTTATGTTGGGGAAAAAAGTGCAGGCCCCCCCGCCCCCCCTCCCCCGGTTGCTACGTCCCTGACATCTACCCTCACTTGAAAATCGTTTAGAAAAGATTTTGCAGATCGGCTGTAGAGAACGAACCAAACATAGCTGATTCATGTTCATTCAAGTACATCTTAATGTATAATATAACTTATATATTGGGTTCAAGTAATATTTTGGAAATCCTTAATATAAACGATCGGGGATGAATAAAAACTACTGGGAAAATAGAATAACATGAATTATTAATGTATTAAAGCTGTATCATAAATCTTTTTCATCTCAAAAAAATGGAAGATTTACTACCAACATACAGATAAGCACCATGTAAAAATCCCATTCCCCCCCCCCCCCCCCAAAAAAAAAACAAAAAAAACAACGGCGATAGAAGGATTTTAAACGTAATGTCGTACGATATTAAATGCAAAGACCGCTAATCATATAATAAAAAAAACTGGCTCACGGAACTCCAACTTTATCACTGATTTGCACTTTTGCAGTATCCAACTCATCTTTTGGACAGTGATTGGTGGTTTCAGAATTTAGATTTTCACCCTGGGGCCAAATCATAAGAATTAAAATGAATCTGAAAAAAAATCCGGAACCCCGAACTGCTTTTAAAATTTTCACAGTAACCTAATAGTGATTTAGAAGAAGTCTGTTTCGGTAGATGTGGATCTAGTTTTCAGAATTCCCTTTTTTCATCCTAAAGGGCGATATGGGGTCAAAATCGTTTTATGTAAAATTATAAAATTGTTGTAGTTTCTTCCTTGTTATCCAAGTGAGTATATTTAAAGGAAAACACAAAAGTTCGGGTGCCATTGTCTCATGACAGCAAATGGTATTTATTTCAATGTCAGTAGAAATAAACAAAATTTTAAATATGCTTTGAGAAAAAAATATCAATTTTAACTCCTTGTTTTCTAACAGTCCTTGTTCAAACATTTGTCATTATCGTATTAACACCCCATGAAATCGGGAAAAGAAATAGAAACCGTTAAAAAAATTCCTGCGAAAAAAAAAGAGTTATCGTTCATACTTAAACCTGGGTGACGCGTCACTATGGAATGACGTCACAATAGAAATCTCGTCTCGGATTGCTTCACAGACAACAACTTGTCGAAGGTAGAAATGTTTTAGCTGTTATATTCATTACAGCAAGATAATTCATTGATACATGTATGTTTAGCTCATTAGCTAATTGTTTTTTCTTCTTCCAGAAACAGAGACAGAAATCAGTCAGTCGAAATCGTGAATTCCACTTCACATATAAATCGTTCACCGTGAGTCCGTGAACCCATATACTAGTAAGTAGAAGTATGTACGCAAATGATTATTAACTTGTATCGATTAAAATAGAAAAAATATAAGATCAGATCGAATTTCCCTTTAGCTCTATAAATATTATGATATGTCATACTTTATTTTATTTTAGACCAGCGAATAGCAGTAAACAAGCAACATGAATGATTTTCAAGGGACATCGGGTGAAAATGCAGAGGTAAAATATTGGAACTATATTAATTAATGTTGGCGACGAAAGTTGAATGCAAAATACAAGCAGATAGGTCATGTTACAATAAATCAGAGGATTAACCATGTTAAAAGTGATGTTAATTATACTAAGTATGGGGGTGGGGTGGGGATGTAGGGTTTTAGGGTCAGACACATATTTTGATATTTGTGTCTTCATTCTTAAGAATACCCTAGACTAATATCCGTGTTGTTTTTAGATAATAACTAAAATATATCTTCTTTCCTTTTACACAAAAATAACAAGCTAATTCAGAGAATTCATGTCCCCCGCTTAGGGAAAAAGTCGGATCCCCCTGACTGAATTTGTAGAATTATTAAATGTATACATGTATACTGAAGCAAATAAAATACATGTATGTCAATATGCATATAAAGATTTGATTGCTTATTCTTTATTATGTGTATAGAAGATTCTTTTTATATATAATATATATATATATATATATATATATATATATATATATATATATATATATATATATATATATAATTTATCACACTGTAATGATGATTTTATAACCTCATAAATTTTTCATTTTACATGCTGAATACTATCATTTAGTAAAAAAAAAAAAAAGAAAAGTATTTTTAAAAAAAAAAAAGGATCGAGTGAGATTCGTTCCCGGGACTTCTCACATGCGAAGCGAGAGACATACCACTAGACCACGGTATCGCTTTACATGGCGTCAAGTATATGCAAAACTGAATTTACATACATGTATATATTCATGTTCGATATTCTCAAAATTTTACACAATCCATGGTGTTTGATTTATTTAGCCTATATTAAATAGTTCTAATAGATGTAATAAGAACATAAAGTCCGCCGAGAACCTGTTTTATACGCATAGCGACATGTAATACTATAAATACTAATAAAACAAACGGGCGGGGCACTTTGAGAGGAGTGAGAGAGGTCTTACGGAGTTTTGGTATAAAATTACATTGAATAAGCTCAAAATCTTCTTGAAATATCGCCCAGAAATGATAGTGTTACACACAGAGAGAATGTACAAATTTACGACCTTGAACTTTGACCATTTGACCTCAAAATCAATAGGGGTCTTCATTAGGCCACAGGGAGTTGTTATGTAAAATTTCATTGCAATAGCTTAAACGGTTCTAGAGATATCGTGTGGAAACGAAAGTGTTATGACAGAGAGAATTTGCTTATTTATGACCTTGACCTTTGACCTTTTAACCTCAAAATCAATAGGGTTCTTCTTTAGTCCATAGGGAGTTGCTATGCTAAATTTCATTGCAAAAGCTCAAAGGGTTCTCGAGAGCGTTACAGACAGAAAGACGGACGGACGGACAGACAAACCCAAATTAATATCCCCGACTTTTCAAGCGGGGGACAATAATGATATATTCTCTACTTAATGAAATGATATAAGTTGTCACTGATGGATTTAATTAAATAACATGTGTAATGTACTAGTAATCAGTTATTACATGCGTGTATATTTCAAACACACGTCCGTCTTTCTGTCTGTCTGTAACGCTTTCGTTTCCACACGATATCTCAAGAACCCTTTGAGCTTTTGCAAATGAAATTTAGCATAGCAACTCCCTATGGACTAAAGAAGAACCCTATTGATTTTGAGGTCAAAAGGTTAAAGATCAAGGTCATAAATAAGCAAATTCTGTCTGTTATAATACTTTTGTTTCCACACGATATTTCTAGAACCATTTGAGCTATTGCAATGAAATTTTACATAACAACTCCCTGTTGCCTAATGAAGACCCCTATTGATTTTGAGGTCAAAAGGTCAAAGTTCAAAGTCGTAAATTTACATTCTGTCTGTGTGTAACACTATCATTTCCGGGCGATATTTCAAGAAGATTTTGAGCTTATTCAATGTAATTTTATACCAAAACTCCCTAGGACCTCTCTCACCCCTTCCAAAGTGCCCCATTCCGTTTGTTTTGTTAGTATTTATAGTATTACATGTACATGCTGCTATTTTTATCACAGGGATATGAGGAGAGTTATTGCGTAAAAACAGGTTATCGGAGGACTTTATGTTCTTATTACATCTTTAGAACTGTTTAATAAAGTCTTAATAAATTAAACACCTTGGATTGTGTAAAATTTTGACAATACCGAACATGAATATATACATGTATGTGACTTCACTTCTGCATATACTTGACTCTATGCAAAGCGATTCCGTGGTCTAGTGGTATGTTTCTCGCTTCACATGTGAGACCTAGTTCAAGTCCCGGGCGTACAACTTTTTTTTTTTGAAATACTTTTTTTTTTTACGAAATATAGTATTCAGCACGCGAAATGAAAAATTCATCTGGCTTGTACAAAGTGAAACTCATAAAATCATCATTACAGTGTGATAAATATTCCATATAAAAAGAATATTCTATACACATGATAAAGAATAAGCAATTAAATCTTTATATCCATAATCGTATATTTTATTTGCTTCAGTATACATGCATGTATACATTTAATAATGCTACAAATTCAGTGAGGGGGATCCAACTCTCCCCCGAACTGCGCATGTTTTACTTTTTCCTTAAGCAGGGGACACAAATTCTCTGAATTAGCTTGTTTAAAGTAAAAATTGGTAAGGGTACCATCAATGTAAAGGCGTAAGAAGCAAATTGAAAGGGAGCGGGGGTTCATCCCAGCAACAAAAAAGGAGTTGGCAGAACTGAACCACAATTCTCAAGGCTTATAATAATATGTCTATCTTTTGCAAAAAATAGTTTGGGGCAGATTGGGGGGGGGGGGGGGGGGGGGCTTGTTATCCCCCTCCTCCTCGGTTTCGGCGGCTATTGTATGACCCTTATAAATTAAGTAAATGCTGTACTCATTTTATGACATATAGTCATTCATAGTGCATTGTTTTCACATGTTTCTAGGCTTCATCTAGCGGCTCCAGTATATATAGAGACGCTCTAGCTGTCCTCTCGAGCTCGAATGAAGAATTTGAGGTGGGTCTGCAGGGGATACAATATGTTATTTGTTCGCTTGCTATATTTTTCTACTCGTTTTTTATTTGTACGGAATAAAAAATATAATGATTATATGTACATACATTACCAAGTGAAAATCCAGAAAACATGAAAAATATTTATTAGTTATAGTTACGAATTAATTCATTGGCGTCTTTTAATATATTATACCATCTTTACCAACAACCATCATTTATTTTGTGTTTAAGTCGACCACGTCCGTGCTTGATTCAGCTCAGGACGATAACAAAATGTTAGCAGAGGTAAGGCACTAATTATACTTTATATGTGTTAACAAGAAGGACGGAATAGAGAGAATTGATAAAAATCAAATTTTTAGCATACGTGAATTATTTTGTATTGTATTGTTTTGTATTAACTTCAAAAACATTAGCAGAGGAACTAATAATACTAATAATTTTGTATTTTGCAATACGAAGTAATCATACAATGACTGCGTTCATATACATAAAAGGGGCAGAATTCCCTCTTGTCCCCTGGCTGTTTTTTTTTCCTCAATGTCTTTTTTCGTCTTATATCTTTTATCGTTATGAGAAGACATGCTTTTAGCAAACCATTTTTCTTGTTTATACTATAGGCACGAAGAATGTCCTCCATTTTGTTCAAAAGCCCGTTGGATGAAAAGCGGATTTTACAGGTATGCGACGACACCCCCCCCACACACCCTATTTTGTAACTAAAAAGATAATCAAGGATACCCGGACATATTTTTATACCATGATTAACTAAACACTAGCTGTTAATATCTTTTATATTTCGTTAATGATTTTTAAAGTTTGTTTAAATCTTTGCCATTTTCTTAGGCCAAAAAGATGAGCCAAACGGCTATTCAAAATGCCTTCTCAGCGGCTGCCGAGAAAGACAGGAATGATGAAACAATGGCCCAGGTAATACAGAGCAGAATATCTTTTGTCAGTCGTATATCTACGGTTGTTACTAAATAAATTTTTGAAGAAATTCACGTTTACGTGATAACTGCTATGATTTTCTGTTTTAGTCAGGCAATGTCTTGAAGAAGCAGGAGCTAACTTATGTTTCCAAATCAAAACAATTATGCCAACGCAATGAAAGATTTTTGGTCTTTCTGTCCGTCTGTCTCGCCTTTTTGTCTTTTGTCCATAAAACTTTAATCTTTCCTACAACTGTTGTATGCCTTGTATCAAGACCTTCTGCTTGGGTTCTTTGATATTTCACCTCTTGGCCTTTAGGTTTGATCAACTTTTGAAATGTTTACTTAACCTTAACCTTGAATAAATTATAACTTTTGGGTTGGGGCCATGGCCTTATATTTCAAGTGTGTTTCTTGTGGATTTTTTGTTGGATGCAAATACATAAATATTCATTTTGATGCATGGAATTTGACTTTTTTGATAAATTTAACCTTTGCCATTTCTTTTTGAATGGTCAGAGCAAGGACTATTATATTTTACTTGTGCATTTCAGACATTTTGACTTTGCCCTTGATATTTGATTTGATCTTCTTTTCAAAGAAATTGAAACTTAATGGTTATAAATTATGAATTGTTGGTGCTAGGATTTTTGTATTTCACACGTGTTTGCCTTCTATTAAAACCTTTCTTTGTGTACAAATAATTTTGACCTTTCGACATTAAAAGTTGACATACTGAAAAATTCGACCTTTTCTAAGAATTTATGATATACTTTTAAGTCATCATCTACTTTTGAAAACTTGCTTAACTTTGTTCATACTTTCTGAATGGCTGGTGCAAGGGCTTCATACTTTACAAGTGTATTCCTTTTGATTAGACCATTTTTGGATACCAATAATATTGATCTTTGACCTTGGATTCTGCTTGCATTTGAGAAACTACATCAATTCACCATGAGTGCTCATTCAGGGGTTTGGGGACATTAGTGTTTCACAAAGAGTTTTTAAAAAAAAAAATACATGTTTTTGTTACTTTACCTAGAAACAATGAGGAAGAAAGTAAGACTATTCAAATTCATCAATATTTTGATCGCGTCAAAGATTTTCTATTCATTTGAAATTTACAGATCGACAGCAATAAGTAATCTTACATGGTTTTATCGATATGATAATATATTTTACGGTAATGTTTTAGACAAGCAGTGCTTCCAGCCCTGCTGTCAACATTAACTTGTCAAGGACAAAGGAGATTGAGGTATACAAAAAAATTCATATTCTAGTTATAAAAAGAGATTGAAATATTAAATCAAAATTAACGTTTTAAATTTGTATCCCTATTTGCCATAGGCCAGGAAGATGTCAACAACATCAATTCGTAGTGCGTTTTCCATGGCAGCATTTGATAACCGATCTGCAACAGTTGCCGAGGTGAGAATTTCTCATAATGTAAACTTAATATCTTATTCAGTATTATTTATGGGTTTTCCTTTACCATTGCATAAATAAACATGTTGTAACAGAAGAAAGCCTATTTTAAAAGAGACGATTACTTGGTAAGACTCACTTTGAAAATGTAGTAAACTTTAAATTATACCATGTTTTCCCTTCAGCAGAAAAACGGCATAGAATTTGTTTCATTTTCAAACATATTTTCTTTCTTTTTTTTACAGCCCAGACGGGGTGTTTTCTCCCGAATCCTTAATTTTTTTAGATGCACTTCTTGCTGCGGCAGGAGAAATTAATGACTTATTAATTAATCATTAATTATGTGCTTAATGTATATATTGATATTTTTTAAATAACATATTGTGTAATTTTTTAAATAACATATTGTGTAAGTTTTTAAAGAACATATCTTGTATTTTTTTTTTCAATTTGATATTAATTATATAATTTTTTTAAATTAATATATTGTGTAATTTTTAAAATTTAAATATTGTATATTGTAATTAATATTTTACATGTAAAAAAAAATACAAAATTGTACAAATCTACATGTGTTAATTTGTTTATAATTCAATTCAATATCTACATTAATTGCACATCCGTTTTTTGATTCCATAATCAATAACATTGTGGATTGATTAAGACCTTCGCTGTGAAAGTTGTCACAATATGTAACATCAGATATTGAAGGTTCCTTTTCCACAGGAACATAAATCTTATATAATGCTTTGGTTTAAATGGCTTTCTCTGGGTTAAGTTGTAGACACAGTAAGCTGGAAGACACAGTTTATGAGTTAGCGGTTTACTTCATTTTGAAATTGTTCCGCTGTATTTCATTTCCGGAGTTTCGCAGAGCCTTTCCAACACTTTTTTCAAATTTCATTTCCGACAACTTTTATTTTCATTTCCGACATTTTTTTTCATTTACGAATTTTTTGCAGGGTACATGTACGTACATGTATATCTCCGGCTTGCAATTGTAATGTTTACCAATTAAGTGGAAAAGGCATTTCCAAATAACAAGTCTAGTTAAAAGATTTCAATAAACATAATTTTTTTCATCGTATTTACATATATCACTTACACGTGCCTCAGGGGAGAAATCTTTCTATTTTTCTTCATTGATAAAACTGATAATTCAGATTTCAATGATTAATTCTTTAAAATTTCCTTAAGTGAAATTTCAAATTCCGCTCTCAATGCCGAATTAACTACCTGAGAAATGCCGGAAACGAGAACTTAAAAATGTCGGAAATGAAAAGTTTAAAATAAAAACCATTCAGGAAATTAAATACAGCCAATTTTCATCTGAACTTAAGTTGGAAACTGATGAAATAAACTATTTCCAAATGGAATAATCAACATATAATATGCAAATTATATTCTGTTAATACATTATTCAATACACTGAAATATAAATTTTAAAAAATGCAGAAATATATACCAGTAAGTTACCATACCTACATGTACAATGTACAAACCAAGCTTAAACATACAATTTTTGTCTATGTTTAATTAAATGAAAGACAATTGCATTTTTACCTAAGAATTACATCTGATGCCGGGTTTTTTCCCACTTAGGAAATGGAGTACAGGGCCATTTTACGCTTAGTTTGGACTTTCATAAAGGCGTGACATTCCCAACCATGATTCAGACAGATATGAATTTTTGAATTCCTTAAGATGCTTGCCTATTATTTGGGTTTATCTAAACAATAACTGATTTATTTTCATAGTAGTCACACATGCAATGTTAAGTTTTCCTTTTTTTTCGAAGCTTCAATTTAATTCTTTAAGCACCTTGGAATACCCTTTACATGGCATCAACACCATGACTTGGCCTCCACAATCTCCAGATATCAAAAATATCGAAAATGTTTGGAGACCTGTGAAAATAACGCTTCAAAAACGGATCCCTCTGTTAAAAACTTGACAGGACCTAATTGAAAATCTTTTATATAAACTTTGTATCAATCCGTATCAAAGAGGATCCGAGCTGTTCTGGCAGTCAGTGGATGCATGACTAAATGTAAGTACCGAAAATTTGGGGTAACTTTTATTATTAGATTTAAAGATGCATTTAAAGATGCATACTGTAAATCACTTTTTATTCGCGAGAAATATCTGGTTAAAGTAAAAACGCCAAGGTTTTTCAATTATGTCAAGTATACACATGTCAGTCTCCATTACGATGTTTTTAATGCAGAAAGTTGACAAACTTTGTGCATGTTTAGAAAAGTAAATCATCAATGTCAATGTACAAATGTAATTGTTTACTGAGGCATGCTATTGAAATTAAGTTGCAGTTACATTAGTTTCAATTAATATTACCTCGCTAAAAGTCAGAAGTCGTAAATTCTATGTTCGTTAGAAAGACCTTGTAAACAATTTAGCCTAGCACCGGATCGTGTTTTAGCTAATGTATGACAGCTAACAACCATATATTTTCAATTTTTCTTTTGTCCACCAACATGTATCTTTTAGATAGTTAGGTAAAATGTCATTCCAAAAGTTCAAAGGCTTTTTGAGATATTGCATGGAAATAAAAATTTTACAGACAGATAGAAAAACAGCTAGACAGACGGACAGACAGTGAAAGTGGGAGACAAAATGAGTTCAAAATACAATGCTTACAACCCCTGATTATACTTACGGGCTCGAGATTCAAAATATTATTAGAAGATCATGTGACGGAAACAAACACATGACTGACTGCGTCTGTGGTTGAATAACAATGCAGTTTCAATGTGTCATTTACATATCTCTTTTTATTATTTTTAACATATTTGAAGCATTCGGTGCCAAATATGAACCAAACTGGGCTTCTCTCGACTCTCGTCCTCTACCGGATTGGTATGATAAATCGAAAATAGGAATCTTCATCCACTGGGGAGTGTTTTCTGTTCCCAGTTATTCATCAGAGTGGTTTTGGTGGACATGGAAGGGACAGAAGGTACCTGGTGTTGTAGATTTTATGCAGAAGAATTACCCGCCAGATTTCACCTACGCTGATTTTGCACCCCAATTCACTGCTGAGTTTTTTAATGCTGACCAATGGGCACAAACCTTCCAGGCCTCAGGAGCCAAGTAAAATAAAACTATTTTTAAAAATATAGAATATAAAGAATTTCGATATACTTTATATTGACTTGCTTTTAATTAAGAAATTGTCCAGAAGTAGAATAAACGATAATGAGACATCACTTTGTAAAGTCCTTTACTTTTTGTTATCACAAGATTAAGAAAGTCTGTCGTCATTTCTTTAGTTTCTTTTTTTTTTACATAGTCCAACAAAATCAATATTGTATAATTTTACCTGTAGGTACATTGTGTTTGTGAGCAAGCATCATGAGGGGTTCTGTAACTGGCCGTCCAAATACTCCTTCAACTGGAACTCGGGAGATGTGGGACCTAACAGAGATATTGTGGGTCAGTGGAACGGGTGCTCTGTAATATGTAATATCACAATGAAGTCTGTAAAATGCCAAATTTTTTTTATCCAAGTCCAGCACATCAATATATATATTCTTCATTGGTTTGAGAAATGGAAATGAAAGATAAATAATATATACACATTAAGACTTATATTGAATGCCTAACTGTGTTTTTATTTAATTGAGAAACGTACGTTAAATCAAATGTTCACTCATAAATACCTTTTTTTCAGGAGAATTAGCAGACTCGATAAAGAATAAGACTGATATTCATTTTGGTCTGTACCATTCCTTATTTGAATGGTTTCATCCACTTTATCTTAAAGACAAGGCCAATAACTACACAACACAGGACTTTGTCAGGGTAAGTACTAACAGAAGGGATTTGACACGGAAATTCGCATCAGCAAGATTTTTGTTTCAGCACTTCAGCACTCTAAGCCTACTTATTAATACCAGCAAATATGGCCAAAATATGCTTGGAAGTGTGATATTAGGAGTAGGTGCAGTTGTATTTATTGTTTGACTTGGATACCATCAAAAACTTATGTAAACTTTAAATTCAAATTTATCACTACATACTTCAGACTGTGATGTCAATTAGCCCTTTCAAGATAACTGTTTTTAAATACTACTCTTTTGCAGGGCAAATTAATAACGTTTGGCAATTCAGAAGTTTTTGTTGATAGATAATTCAATGGCATCTATTTTTTACATCATATTTCACCAAAATATGTCATTTGCCCTGCAAAAAAAGTAGTACTGCAGTTATCACGAAAGGGTCTATCATGAGTGGTTCATCATATGACGGTGAAATTTTTGGATGGAGTATAAAGAGTGCAAGTCTCTGTAAATAAATACCAAACAAGTGTATATTTTTGTTTGGAAACTTCAAAAATTTTCTCTGCAAGAAAAACTTTATTTTATTTTTAGTCTCTAGTGTGATTTGTCCTAATGTTATACTTGTACAGAATAGGGCAGCTGGGTTTTGAATTCTTGAAATTTGAACATAAATATTTGCTTTTACAGCATGCACATTTTCCGTTTGAATTTCCTCTGTCCGTTGGTCTTGTCTTTAGAAATTGCTGCACATGCTATATAAATGATACCCACAACATTGATCATAATTAATCACACTTCACCTAATAAATCTTTAATTTAAAAATGTTTAGGAGTAGAATTTTTAAATTGTTCATTTTTGAACCATTACACTAGACATATAAGTTTAGTATATGTATGATTTTTTTCACACTTTATACAGACAAAGACAATGCCAGAGCTGTATGAACTTGTTAACAGATATAAACCTGATGTTGTTTGGTCGGACGGAGACTGGGAAACAACAGATGTGTACTGGAACGCTACACAGTTTCTGGCCTGGCTGTACAATGAAAGGTATGATTCAGAGTTGAGGTAGGACTTCTCAACAAAGTTGATCACTCTTTGAAGTTTTATTGCTTCATGAAATGAAGTGATGATTCATGTAACTTTAGATATGTAAATCCAGTAAACGGGGAGTTATAAATACAGATCAGTAACTTTTTTAATTCCTGTTCAGTAGACCAATGATTTTGTTCAGCTCATTTATTTCTTATTTTAAATATTCATAGAAATTTTAATACATTGACTAACTGTAATAAACTGAAGATTTCCTCGAGACAAGTATATTTTTCTTTTTGCCTGTTTCAGTCCAGTGAAAGACACAGTGGCTGTAAATGATCGGTGGGGAAACAACATCAGGTGTAAACATGGAGGATTTTTGAACTGTGATGACAAATATAATCCAGGTGTGTATGGCCAGGTTAAAATACTTGTTTATTTAATGAGAAAAAAGTAAAGTAACACAAGTTTTAACATGGACTACTGCAGATATCAGTAGAGGAAGACATACTTGTATGCATCTTAATAAGTAGTTTAATAGGAATGTGGATTAATAAACAAATATTTTAAACTAATCTTTGTGTATCTTACATTAATTTCTTTTTTATTTATTTGTTTGTTTAGGAAAATTGCAGAAAAGAAAGTGGGAGAATGCGATGACCATTGACAAGTTTTCCTGGGGTTATCGCAGAAGGGCAGTCATCAGTGACTACCTCACAATGAAGGACATAGCCAAGGTCATAGCTTCGACTGTTAGGTCAGTCATAGAGTAGATACAGAGTAGTGTCCCTTTGTATAGCTTAAACTGTAAGGTCAGTCACAGAGCAGTCACAGAGTAGTGTCCCTTTATGTAGCTACAACTGTTAGGTCAGTTACTAAGTAGTTACAGAGTTAGATCCCTTTACAGAGCTACATATGTATATCAAGGGCAGTGAAAGAGTTATCACCCTTTATGTTGCTTCAAATGTTTGGTCAGCTAAAGAGTAAGCTCCCATTATATGGTCAGTTTATACAGAATTAGCTTCCTTTACACAGCTTTTATAACTGTTAGGTTTGGTTACTGAGTTAGCTCCCTTTACAAGTTAATGCCTATTACACAACTACAACTGTTGGGTCAGGTACAGAGTTAGCTCCCATTAAATGGCTCTGTGTGATAGGTCAGTTTATGCAAAATTAGCTCCCTTTACATGGTTTCAAATGCTTGGTCAGTTTATACAGTGTTTAGAGTTAGCTGTCTTTACATAGTCAATCTATACAGAGATAGCTTCCTATGTATATAGCTTCAACTATTTAGTCAGTTTCAAAGTAATACACTTATATACAGTAAAACTTCAATTTTTAGGTTAGATTCATCTTATTTACTGTTGATAGGGTGATCAGCTATGAAAGTCATAAGCCAGTGATAAATTGATCTGAAACCAGCAGACATAAAAATTTGTGGAGATTAATGTCCAAGACAATGACATATGTTCAAAACAGTTAATACAGAAGTCGTAAATACATAATGTCCATTCACTAAGCTTTTAATGTTGTTCTCTAATAGTTGTGGAGGAAATGTGCTGATCAACATAGGGCCCACACATGATGGGAGGATAGCACCAGTATTTGAGGAGAGGCTGAAACAGATGGGTCAGTGGCTGGGGGTCAATGGAGAGGCCATCTATGAATCTGTACCCTGGAGTCACCAGAATGATACCATCACCCCAGATGTGTGGTAGGTTAGAATAATTAGCCAGTACATGCATGTATTTAGTAAAAATCCTGCAAAATCCAGTCAGAGACTAGCATCTGATAGTAGCGTATCAGTCGTCTGTCTGTCAGATCCCTTTGACTTGACTTTTTGTATGTAAATAAAACCAATTTTCAAGAAATAATTCAAGATAGTTTCACTTCATTTTTATTTATCAAACTTCATTAAAAAAAAAATTGGAAGAGAAATTCAACTATTATAATTTTCTGACCTTAATCCTCCCTGTGACCTTGACATTAATTGCTTTTCCTTAATTAAGCTAATTTTAAACACAAAAACAAAGTACACAATCATGTACTTTTCTATTATTATGTTGTAATTCCAATGAATCTTGACCTATTTTTCAGCTCAATTTTTAATGCATTAATGTTCTTCTAATATGGGAGAAAACATGTATGAATTAGATAACTGACTTTTATGATTTACTTCTATATCAAATATTTTTTATCAACCTTTAATTAGCATATATCACAATTTACAAACAGGTACACATCAAAGAAAACACCTCAAGGTACTGCTGTATATGCTATAGTCCTGACGTGGCCCAAGGCAAACCAGCTAGTGT